CATATGTTTGTGGACTGCCCAGTCAGCGCTTTGCATGCTGCACTCCGATGCATCCAACGTTTCATAGTCATGCTGTAGGTATAAGTTAGTTTTCTTTATTTAAAAAAAATAAATAAATTCCCCAAGCTTGTTTGTCATGTTCTATCTGCAGGTATTTGACCTTTTCACCTTAATTTCCCATGGGTTTCGGGGTTGACTCGGCATAAATCAGTCCTTTCTGAGGCATTGGTACTAGAACTGCGTTGGTTAGCTGGGTGCCTCAAGGTCCATACGGGTGATGGTACGTTAACCTCTTTTGGCTAAGCAGACCAGAAGCTGTTTCGTGAGGTATTCTGTTCTAAACTGTCATTATTCCTTGTAAACACGCCAGTGTAAATTATACTGGGGAGGGAAGATTAACTCATAGATGTCCTAATGGAAGTTTGGTTGGCTTGTTTGTTTTAATAAAAGGGCAGTGGAAGACCTTCTGTAATACAACTGTGAATTGGAGATCATAGTATTGTGAAATTTTAGTTTAAGTCAGTTGGGTTGAGGTCAAGCTTTTTTTTTTTAACAGGCATATTCCTGCAGAAAGGTGTTTCAGATATTCTTGGGTATTTTGGATGCTTAAAACACATGTACGTAGCAGTAACCATGTAAATACATGCAGGTAGCTGCGTCAAGAAGTCCAACACCTTGTCAAGTTAGTGTTGTTATATTTATTTTACCTGGTAGCTGATGAGAATTAAAATGCATATATTGAGGGTACTGGATGTCTGAGACTCCTTTGGAAGGTCATTGTGTGGGTTCTTGATGCAGTTCAGTGAAGGAAGGACCAAGCAAGGTAGAGAAATCCATGTCCTGTGGCTGGATCGCTCTTCCTCTCGCCAGCTGCCACCTTTCTGCCTTGTCTTTTGGCCTCTTGACTTCTGGAAAATTTACCTTTTATTGCCTCTACTACCTGATTTCTGCTTTTGGAATGTACAGATCTTACAAAATATTTAAGGTTACTAAAAAAAAAAAAAGGGCTTCTGATGTTCTTGTTACCCTTGTGAGTCTACCCTGTGGCATAAATGAGAGTTTGTTGTTTTTTTGGGGTTTTTTTACAGTTCTCCAAGTTGGTAGCAGTGATCTGCTCACCCGTGTTCTTTTCATCTTCTGTGGTGATGAAATCCAATGATTTTTTTGTTGAAGCTTGTTGGTGTTAATAGAGACTTCTCACATTTTGTTTCACACACATACTCCCCCACTAGTCAGGCATAGTACTTGCCTGAGACCGATGGTTTTCCCTGACACCTGAGGATCTGGAGATCATCTGAAACCTCCTTGAGTTGTGCGGCTCTGGTTAGTTCTTCCTGCTGTTCAGCCATTTATCTGTCTTTTGCAGGTAGTAATGAAGAAAGGAACAATGCACACACAGGTGTGGGGAGAAGCAGGCATGTTCAGATCATGCTATACAAACACGTAATCAATTTATACAAATGTAGAGTTCTGGAATTAGTTGTCAAGAAAAAGTGTTCTGGAGTAGAGCTGTGGAATATGAATGGTACTTGGCTTAATGAAGAGGAGTGCAGGGTAACTGAGGTCTGTCATGCAGTTACATGTAATTAACACCTACTAAAAACTGCTTGGTGGAATCAGGTTCAAATGGAGTAGTCCTCCTTGATCCGATAGCCAGGCTTTTGCATGGTAAAATGTGGGTTTTACTTGTTAACTATGGTGTGATATGGAGGCTGTTGGTGGAATTATATGCTGACTAATGAGTTCTGTTTAGAGAAGGGAAAACCCAAAGTGATAATCCAAAGCGTAAGATGTCTAAGTCCAAGTTAGTTGGTGTCTTTACGGGGCTGGGAGTAATGGCTAAACATGCAGTGACAGAATCGAAATCAGCACTTTCAAGTTTTCATGTTTTTGAAATAATTGTGACTCTTACTGTCCCACAAATGATGAACAAAATAAGCATGTGAAGTTACAGAAACATCACTTAAGAAATCTGTACTTCATCCCCTGGAGAAACAGGTTTGTGTGGAAAGGAGATCTTTGGTTTGTTTACTTCCCATTATGGTTGGTTCTTTCCCATCGTGGTTGGATTGTGTGGCAATTTCTTTTCCTTTTCCACTGCTTCCCAAATCTACAGTAGTTCAAGGCAAACCCATGAGAATCAGTAGTTTACTCTCAGGACAAGTCAGGCAAGGATTCCTCTTACGCTAAGGCTGTTGAAGGTGTGCATCCGATACCTTCCCTTGCTCACTGTAGGGGACAATCTTTCCTCCCGCAGGAAGGCAGGAGAACATCTAGACCAAGCTGTGGTCCCTCTCGAGTGCCTTCGTCATAAGAGCAGGTCTCACGTGCAGCATTCCTGAGCTGAAATTGCTGCTGCCTTGTTGGCATCACAAGTTATTTTTGTCTGGAAATGCTACAGAAAGATCTTCTTGACTCCTCTGGCTTTTTCATGTGTTCCTGGATTCCAGATCATCTTTTGGGTGGAGGCACGAAAACAGGGCACTGACTGCCCAGGTCAAGTATCTCTACCCTACGTGAGCCCTGTGTCCGTGCCTGTTTAGATGGAGGGACACCTTTGACTTTGGAAATCTTGGAACTCAGTTGCTGTTGGTCTGCAGGAAAGATCTATCCTTCTGCAGGTGTCTCCTGTTCTTTACTAAATGTCACCTACTGGTCTCTGCTGCCCTGAAAGGATGCTGCCAGAGCTGTGTCTTCCACCTCGTGCAGCCTTTTGATATGCTGATGTGGTAGCTTCTAAGCAATGCAGTAAAGAACATGTATTGCACGTGTGCAGAATTAAAAAGGAGGAATGTTTCTGGAGAAGAGGACTGCAGTAGCTGGAGACATGCTTTTTTTTTTTTTTTTTTCCTCTTCACCTGGGCTCTCAAAGCACAGTTCATCCTTTGCCATCCTCTCTGTCCTCATCTTTCCCTTTCTTAGCTTGGCTGTGATGATGTTTGACAAGTGCTTGCCTGCTATTTCAACATGAATTGCTCTTTGAGGTGGTGCTCTTCAGTTTCACCAGCTCATAGTGCTTCAAGTCGCTGTTATCTGTTAATTTAAATTGTCATGTTAGCTCCAGAATGCTTAGTTTGCTTTTCCCAGGCCTATTTAGTAATCCTTGGGTTTCCTTCTTTGCTAAGAAATGCTGCTATGATCATGGAGGAAAAAAGAAAAATGTTTATTGACAGCATTTGCTCTCTTAAACCTCTACTGGATAAACCAGAATTGACAAGCATTGGGTTGCGGGAAGATGTGTGCTGCTTGGTGGTCAGGCCTGCCCAACACTTGTTTTAACTGATGTTCGACCCCATCTAATGTAGGCATGAACCTGGGACTTCAGGTTTTGGTCAAACTGGGCTTCCTCAGATCATGCCATGGGAGCCAAATGATCGTCATGTCTTTTCCTGCAGCTGGAATCCCAAAAGGTTAACCCACGGCTTTGGAGCATCTTCATCTGAGCCTTTGGTTTTCCTTCTCCTTCCAGTGAGGAAGTGGGAAGCAGCTCAAGATTGTAATATACCAAAATACTTTGTTCAGAGTGTTTTCATATAAATACACATCCTGCTACTACACACAAGCTTTTATTTGTAGCTGAAATATTAAATCATGTGTTTAAAAAAAAAAAGAACTCCTTCAAATTCATGGCTGATGGATTGTCTTGTACTGTTGAGCAAAGGCAATATAATTAGTGGGGAATAGAGATACAATGCCAAATAGAAGCATGCTTTGAACTTGTTTTTAGTCAGGCACTGGGAAAGCTTGCTTACAGCTGTTGGTTTCTTAAGTTACTGAGGATACCAATTGGGGTAGGAAATTGCTTCCAAGGTCTTTATTCTCTGGATCAAAGGACAAAATGAAGTAGCCTTCTCCTTTCCCTGAGTGGTGTATCGGAGGGGAAGCAATGGCTTGCAAAACCTTTGCTTGCTTACGGACGATGTGGTCGGGCGTCACTTCTCACCTGTTATTTCCTCGAACATTAGGAATTGGTTGTAACACCAGGACTTCTTTGGTGCCATTTCATTACTGTGGAGTTGTACATGATGTGCTTGGCAGGAGCATTCTGTGCACGCAACATGCAGTCATTCGTCTGGTTTGCATGGGTTTGGAGAGGGTTAGATCAGGATTCAGAGTAATGCCGCTTGGGTTTGTAACAGAAATGTCATTATCTGTTTGCTTTCGGTTGACTGGACCTGTACAGAAGGAACAAAATGATAAATGCCTTGGGGGTAGAAAAATGGAGCCTTCTTTCTCAGCCTCTCTTTTTTTTTTGTTTTGTTTTGGTGCGAAATGGTCAGTGAGGTTGAACCTGGGTGCAGCCGTGAGGACTTCACTTCTGTTGGGAGCAATGGTGAACTTAACTCTGCAGCTTCCCAGAAAACTCCCCACCTGCCCCCGGTAGTTTCTATTTAATTTTATAGTAAATGGCTCTGTGGTTGATTTCTGTCTAGATTGTGCTACTGAAAAATTGCACATTTATAGAATAAACAGCTATTTTCCCTTCCCTGGGCAGGGGTGTTACCACTGACGCTGGCAGTTGTTGACGTTCAGTATGATGGGCAGTAAAAAATAATGTGTTTTTGGAACAGGCAAACATTCTCATTTACCTGGGCAGAGAGGTTACTGCTGACCGTGCCAACCGCAGTCAGTGAGCACGATGAGAAGTCCAGGGCTGTTCTTGTAGAGAAGAGATGTGTTGTGGTGGATGGGAAGCAGTTTAACCCTCTACAGACTGGAAGAGTCTGTTCACAACCCTGAAGGACTGGAGTCAGTTTGAGCTTGCTGGTGGCAGGGGAGGAGATAGAGCTAGATGTGCTGTGGAGAGCACCTCCATTCTGCAGAATGGTGATTGCTGGTATTCTGGGGTTTTTTTATGGTCTATCCAAACCCTTAGTGGTTTTGGTATTGGACTGTCACGTCTCAGAAGACTGAGTGTGACTTTTGGTCTCATGTACCCAAAGCCTTAGCATGAAATTCTGTGTGGCAGAGCGTTAAATGTCCTTGTACTGATGTTGTGAATGTTGTCTGTTTTTACAGATGCCTTTGTAAATAGCCAGGAATGGACACTAAGCCGATCTGTACCGGAACTGAAAGTGGTGAGTTTATATTTACTTCCATCTCTGAAAAGCATCCTGAAAATGTTACAGACAAGTGAAAATCTTCTAAGCTTCATTAAATCCACTGTTGGAAAAAAATAGAGAGAGCCATTTTAAAAACTAAAGCATTTTTCTTCAATAGAACTTTATGAAGTTTATGTATCTTTTGTTCTTATAATCATATTTCGAAGTTCTGTTTGTATTTTGTAGCTGTTTCAACTTGCTTGGCTACATGAGCTGGCTTCCTGGGGTGGTCTTCTCGGTAGGGAAGTCTCATCCTTCTGTAAGAGGGGGAAGTGGAAGTTAGCAGGTGATATGTAAAGCTCCTTTCATCTCACTGTAATAATTCTTCACAATTGCTTTAAGAACCAAATGTCTTTTCTCCTTCTCATAAAAGGATTTACCTGAATTTATACGAATAAAGAGTATTTTGAAGGTTCATACAGTGAATCGGAAACCACATTTTGCTGTAAGAATGAACTGTGATGCAGTAGCTGCTTACAACAGCTCTTCCCTTGGCTGAGCCGTTTTCCATATAGGTGGACAAAAAGGCAGAAATAACACAGGAACGGATGGGGGGGGAGTTTCCCTGATTTGCCCTTTTAAGCGTTATGAACCCGGAGGCTGGAGATGAGGGCTGGAACCTCCTCACAGTGGATATCCAAGGGGCAGCTTGTCAAGCCAGCAGCAGGGAGTTGTTGAGACCAGGTCACTGTGATGTTCACCACGTGGCAATCCAAACCACAACCGATTTCTCAAACCCTGCAAAATGACTGTGGTACCCAAGATACAGAGCTTGGTACTACCTTTGGGTGTCTGTGCCCAGCTCCTGTTTTCCATCTGTAGCCGGCCGAGCTGCTCTGATCCAAGCACCCGTTTGCCGAGTGGCAAAGTGAACGGGGCAAAACCATCTGGGTTTGAGAGGGCGGCTGGGGCCGTGCTTCACTAGCCCACTTCTCAGGTGGTAAATGTCTTATTCCCAATCTGAGTTGATGATAGTGTTTATGGAAGTGAGAGAAAGCGTAGGACAAACTCAGTGTGATAAATGCCCTCACTCAGAATGACGTTTGAATTGAAGCAGCTTCCTCATGACTAGAGTTGTTTCTCTTTTGATTTCAGCAGCGCACAAGGTAAGTAGAATAAAAATATGATGGTCAATGGGTGTAGCTGTAAGTACAGGAAGGTCCCACAGAGGGTCACCAGGTTCAATTTAAACTGATGGTGTAATTTGGAAGACAGACATCTCCCAAAATACCTCGCCCAATAAAATACTAATAATTTAGGACTGGAAGGTGTTGGTGGGGAGGACTGCAGAGGGTTTCCTTGTTCATCCCTTCTCCTGCTCGTAGCCCTACTAGTTCACAACACCCACCAGTAAATGTGGGGCCGGCAGGTGAGACCAGAGCTGTGGTGATGGTGTGTTTTAGGACAGAACACAAACCCTTGCAGGACATCAGGTAGTGGTCTCAGGGTACCACTGATTGCTGTGATACCACGGCTGCATTTCGGGAATACTTTTGTCTCGGGTGTCTTACGCCCATGTTGTCTGAACCAGTGGTAGGAAAGTGAACTTGTGCTGCGCAGCTGCTGGGGAGAATGGATTTTAGGCGGTCAGCATGGGCGAGCCATCTAAGGCTTCAGTTTGTGTAATCCTTTTATGGATAAAGCAGAACTCTTACCATTACAAAAATAATAATTTGATTATACCACTGCCAATTATTGAAGCTAGCAGCACCAGCTGTGGCCGTGAATTTGTACTTGAGCAGAAAGGGCAAATTAGGAACTCCATCTGAAACCCACTGCGCCTCTCCTGTCCATCTGCCCTTGGGAGGGAGCTGGTGCGGGGACTCCTACATCCTTGCTCTCATAGTACCAATCCTTCCTGGCCTCATAGTCGGTGCTCGCTTACGGCTGCAGAGGGAAGGGCCATGGGAAAAGACAAACTGCCTCTTCTGCCACAGCGCTGTCATAATGTTCACCTGAGAGCGGTCCCTTTCCCCAGCGATGGTGGTGTTCCTGCATCCCGTTTATCCAAGTGTAAAATAAGGGTATGTTAGGCAGAATAAATATGAGATCTTTTTGGACAAAATAATTTCATTTGTTCCAAAAAAATATGCAAAGTGCAGTCAGACGTCTGTGCTGGAGAGCTCTGAACTGGCAAATGCCATCGGTACAGTGATGCATTTTTGCAAACAGGCTTTAGGAGGATGTAGGCATGGTGGTTGGGATTTGTTTTACAGCGTGTCTGGCACATGCAAATAAATGATTCAGTGTTGTACGAGTCAGAACTGACAGAGCACTGCGTGGTAGCCTTGTTAGCTGGATTTTCACGTTTCTGAGCTGGATTAGAGTGGTATTTTTGTTCCATAACATGCTTGTCATAGCTTTGTGTGTTTCATATGTATCCATAAATAAATACAAATGACTCAGATTGTTTGTGTATAAAATATGGGAGACAGGAATATGACTGCTGTGAAAACATGCTGGCATATTTGTCATGCTGCGGGAGGTCATCCTTAAAACAAGTACTAATCCTGATTAAGAGAGAAACTGTATTAGAAGACAGATTTTTTCAATGTAAAGTTGGTTGCTCCAAGTTTTCAGAGGTTAATAGTGTGCAGAGAGCCAGAGCAGCAATGCTGAGGCAAATTCTGCTCGATTTTAATTTCATGTGCTGCTTTCGTGTCTGGTGGAAAAGAGCTGGCTGCCTGGGCTCTTCAGATGCAGGCACTGCGGTGACATCTGAAGGAATCCTCTCTCTTACCAGATTGGAGGAGGAGGTGGTAGGCATCTCCAAATGCTTTCTGAAGAAGTTGTCCGAGAAAAAATAAAGCTGTACTGCAAACATAGATTTTTTTTATTTTTTTTATAGTCAGGTTTTAGGAAACTTGCTTTGGGTTCATGTGATTTTTTTTTTTTTTTGAGAAATTAACATTAGTACTCCAATGCTAAACTGACTGTGTTAATGCTTTTATTTCATATTCACTTTTTTGCTCCATGTAAGCTCCCAAAGAACTTTTGTCAGTTTGGGTGGGTAGTTTGAAAATGATTTAAAATATAAAACCAAGCACTTCTCTGTTCAGAAGCAGTTGAATATTCTGATCAAGAAAATCAGTCCTGCAGTATCTCTGAACACCAACACTTTGCTCTTAATTTTGAGACAACTTACGGAAAAAAATAAAAGGAAGAAGGGGGAGGAAAGACACTACCTTTCTTGGAAGATTGTGCATGTTTTTTAATAACATATCTTGTTGTTAAGGGAAGGGAAGAAGGCTCTAGTTTTACTCCATGAGGTAGTGAGGTGGTTTCTTCATGGAAATACACATCTTGCTCCTCCTGGCCACTGCTTTCTGCATCACTGTACCATCCCCTTTGATAGTGTTCTTCTGACCAGGCACTGTTGTCCTTCTGGGTGCCTGTAAGGAGGGACATACTGGAGAACCTGGAGTGCTGTAGAATTACACATGCTGATATCATCTTTGGGAAGGAAAAAAAAAAACAACCTATAAAATTATTTTCTCACATCACTAGATGTCTTTCAAATAGTTGGCATCTCTGACTAAACGCAGTAACACGTCCTGGTCATGGGCAAAGGGCTTGACGTGTTTGCTCTCCCTGGAACACAAGTTGATGCTTTTCTGTGGTTCCTGGCAGTTTTGCCCTGTGACTGGTTACGGGTTTGGCACTGGTATGATATCAAATAGCGTTAACTGGCATACGTGCAGGACTAGGCACTTGTAAGTGAAGGTTTCGGCATCTGCCGTGTTTGTGGGACTGGTGGTATCTCCTGGTCTAACAGAGGCTTTTTGGTGGATGCGTTTGGTGCTACACTGGTTTGCTACAAGGTAGGTCAGAAACAGCTTCAGTGTGTTGTTTCCAAAGGTCTGGAGCTGCCACTTCTCAAGTGAAGAAAATAAAACACTCTTCTCCATCGGTGTTTTCCTTGCAAGCCCATGTGGAGCTTTCTTGCTTTCCGATTCTTCAGAAATCGTGGTGCTCAGAAAGGGCCTTAGCCTGGCTATTTAACTGCAAAGGCACCCCAATCCGCTGATTGGCACATGGGATTTTTGGTGTGCTTGCTGTTTTTGGCCCAGGCTGTCACAGTATAGAGCACTGTTACCCTTGTCTTCATCGGGAGTTGTTCTGGGTTGTAAAGAATAAATCCCTGGTTCCCTGGCTCCAAAGCTGTCATTGGCACCACTCTGGTTTAAGGCACCAGTTGGAGGTGGCACCACTCTGGGTTAAGCAGTTTTTAAGAATGAGGATCGTTTCTTACAAATCAGGATGGAGAATATAGAGTAGGGAACGTGTGTTGGTGTGTAACTTGTCGATGGTGCCTCTGTCACTTTGGCAAATGCGGGCAGATCAGCAGAGTTTGTCCTCTCTCTGGGGATCTGATGTTCCGAACCTTTTGGTTAGGGTCAGGATAAGCATGTGGGAACAGAGTAAGCTTGGGTTTGTTTTAAAGGCCAAAATAAGTTCCTATCTCCCCCCCACCCAAAACTGGGCAAGTGCAGTTGTGTTCAACAGGGACGTGACAACTGAGCAAGAGAAAAAATACATTTGAACCACCGAGGAGGTATGTTGTCCAAGCCCTCCTGTCCCTGGGCTGTGCAGAGCAGGGCAGGCAGATAGGCTTGGACCTTGTTTGCCACATCTCTCGGCCCACTTCTTATTGATGGCTGGCCTGGGGACAAATCAGCAGGACTGGTACTGGCCAGCACCAGTGGCTTGAAAGGGATGGCTGGTTTGGTACTGGGGCGCGAGGCACGCAGGCTTTGTAGTGGCCTCACAGCCCCTCTAAAGCAACGAAGAAAGGCAAATCTTCAAGGCTTTGGCATTTGAGCACCTCTGGGAAGAAAACTGTTCTGGTGTTGGGCTGCATTCTGTTAGTTCTGGCTGGTTTGTAAGATCGCTGGCTAACAGTTTAGCAGCAGCATCACGCGTGCTTTAGGACTGAGCACTTCTGTTGGGTTGCTGGATGTTCCCAGGGCAGATGTTTGGGCATAGACGGTTTGAGTTGCAGACTTCTTGGTAAAGTAAGGGGCTTCAACAAGCCGTAGTGGACGTGCCGAGATCTTTCTGTCTGTAGTAGCCATTTATATCACGTGTGTGCTTCAGCAGCGAGTCAATGGGAATCATGTAGTGGATGGCCTACAGAGAGGTTTTCCAGTGTGAGGATTTAGTGATGTGGTTCGATTTTTCAGAAAAGAGGTGACAGGCTTTCTCTGAGCTTTAGGCTCCTTCCCTGAAGTCTGCGACATTCCCACTTGGCATTAGTGGCCAGCTGGATAAATGAGTGCTGCTAACATAAGTCTGGGTTTATCTGCTTTGTCATGTATGTGCTCTGCTGTACCCTTAGCTTTTTGGTGGTTACTTTATCTATGAGCATGTTTTGCAGTGTTTCTGTTATGTGGGCTTTCCCGTCAAGGGCAGAGAAGTTATTTCTGTAATAAGATTTGCTTGAATATACTGCTTTTCATAGGGATTAATTGCAGTTAAACTTTTTTCCTTTTTTTTTTCCCAGGGGATCGTGGGTAACCTAGCGAGTGGCAAGTCTGCCCTGGTGCACCGGTATCTGACTGGCACCTATGTCCAAGAGGAATCACCCGAAGGTATGTGGATATGCAAATTTCACTTTTTTTTCCCCCAGAAACTACATCTTTACTCATTTTTAATCATGCATAAATGAATCGGTAAAGAATCCGATTTGCTATTACATGGAGATTTTTCCTTTAATCTTCTCCAGACTGAGATACATATATACACCGAGTATAGTCGTAGCTTGTTCTTAACTACTTAGCATCCTCAAGTACTTTGGCATCCAGTATGTGTCCGTATGGGAAATTTCTAGCCCTGCACTGAGGAGAGCTGACTGCTCTCGGCAGTGCTGCAGCTTTCAGCGTGGCTGTTGAAAGCCACAGTTAGTGTATCTAGTACTGGATTTCTGCAGAATCGGGCCCTTTGCTTTGTGATGTTGATAAAGAAACCTTCACAAGCCTAAACAAAAGATGTCACTTCTTCCTTGTTTAGTATAGTCAAAGTTTGGGTTTGAAGGTGTGTTGTTTTTTTTTATATATGTTCTTAATGCTATAGAAGATTAATTTATACCTGAAAATGTTGTAGTGTTTAATGTTAATCCAAGCTTATAGCTTGAAATCAAAAATATTGTAGTACCTTGGAGAGGTGTATCTCACACTAAATACTTTTTTGGTTTTTTTATCTGTTTTTTATCTGTTCTCCTTATGAACTTTTAAATCCAACTCTGAGACACTGAATTTCTGGTTCCTTCTTTTCCTTACTGGCTGTTCCATTCTTTGCAGATATGGATGCAGGTAACTATACATGTCTTCATGGCAACTCTTGTTTTGAAGAGGCAGCTGGCAGTTTCTGTACTATAGCCTTCTCCCCTTGTTTTGTGTTTCATTTTGGTTTGTTTCCTTTTGATTTCAAGTCTGTAGTACATCTCACTGTTTTTGTCTCTTGCTGTAGTTGTCTTTCCAGCAGTAGTTTGTAGCTTCATGCATCTCCGGTAACATTTGTTTCCGATTAACTCTTACCAAAGGAAGCTATTAAGCGTACTACTTGATGTTTTGATAGTCTTGGATTGTAGGAAGAATGGGAGGAGAGGGAAAGGGAGGGATGGACAGGGCTGTTTCTTGTGCAGCTGCAGTCACAGGGAAGCCTTCCAGTTTATAAGCTTGCCTTGAATGTTTTTGCTGCTTTGGAGCTGGGAGTGATGGGGTGATAATTGAGCCTTGCAACAGAACTGTGTGTAGATCCCATTTGTGCCTCCTGCTTCTGGGTGCTGCTAGCAAGAAATGGTGATGTTCTGTGTCGATCCACTGCATACAAACGAGTCTTCAGCAAAAATTATTATCTCTACAGATCTTTCCTCATTTCATGAACAGAAAATGTTCCGGGTTTTTTTTCTTGTAGGATTCCCATGTGTTGATTATTCACAGGGGTTGCAGTCCTCTCCTTCTCAACTATGAATATTTTAGATGGTGTTCATTGGGAGTGTTGCTGTCTGTCCTCTTTTGTCTTCAAGGATTTTTATTTACAGTGCTTGAGTGACATTCCGACTGTTTTTCCTGAAAGGATGAGATGACAAAAGCAGTGTCAGATGATTGCTGTGCACAGAAGTGTAGCTGACAAGCCTCGCTAATGACACCGTTCCGTTTCATTAACAGTAGGAAAACTGGAATAATTAAGAGCTCTAATTCACCTTGAAAGGGGTAGGGTCAAGATTTCTAATCAAGTACGTATTAAAGGAAGTTCAACCTATATGAATTACACCTAGTAAACATCTGTAGTAGTGACTTGTTAGTGTTTTATGGCTTTCTCGTCCAAGCATAAGTGTAGTCTATAGCAAATACAGCAGCAGTGCAGATGGTTTGGTTGTGTTGTTGTGCAGGAATTCTGATTTTTACATTCTGCGTGGGAATGTAGCTTTTGATAAATCAAGGCTAAATGCAAACCTTTATGTTGGAGACCAATGCAGATCTTCCTCTTCCTTTTCTGGGGTCTTTTAAATGTGCTGGGTAGTTCAATTGGATAAAGGAGAGTATATAGATTGGGTGTTAAGGTCTCAGCTGCTTGACTATTTAAGAAAAAAACAAGTTTATTGACTTCAGATGGCTTCCTTACAGCAAAATTCATCAGGCATCATCATTAGTATCTCACTGTTAAAACGATGGATTCACGCTTCACGTGAAAAGGGTGATTATGACCAAGGACTGCTCTTTCTGCTATCCTTTGCCTTCCAAATTGCTGTAATTGCCATGAAACCTGCCTGGAATGAGACAAGTGCTGGATCTTCCCATAATGATACGAATAAGGAAGTGATGGGAAATAGGGTATTTTAGAGATTTGTCGTCTTCTAAGAACCTTGCAAGTGATTGGAAGAAAATTTCCCAGTGTCCTGGGTTTTTTACCTAGTTAGGCTGCACGCAACCTGGTGTCTTTTTTTCACTGGTCTAAAATTTAATTCTACCTGTAGGAACAAAATGAAACGTGGTCTATGTGGAATTTGAGACTGAGTACTTTGCAGACCAAGGTGAAGTGAAGTTTACAGGAATAGTGAGCGTCAGGAGTATTCTGTTACTGTTCGGGGTTTTGTTTCCAAAAAGCCCCAGAGGCATGAAACACGACTGAAAAGCTTTTGCGCATCGCTGGGATGTCTGTGAGCACCCTAATTCATGTCATGATTATTTCAGTTTTTTTTTTTTCCAGTGAGATGCTAGAGCAGACAACTGATGTGAACATAAACTGGTAAATGTGCCCAGTATATCTTCTCTTGAAGAAAACCAGGAAGGCGAGCTGAGGTCATGTCGTCATGAGGTCAAAATCCCCTTAAATTTGAAGATGCAGAATAGTTGAAATGAGAGTTGGGAGGAGAAGGAGAGAGCCGGTGCAGGAGGGGTAGCAACTGCTCTGGTTTTATAACTTTGGTAACTTTTGTAAAAGTTACAAGGGTACAGCCGTCCAGTGTAACGTATGGCTTTGAGACTGGTTTTAAAATCCCTTAAATTGGAAAAGACTTTTTGTTGCTGCTGGTTTTCTGAGAATTGGTGATTATCGAGTGTCAATCTGCTCTACTGTGGCATTCAAATGAGGGGCAGATTGTTTTAAGTAGGTTAGTAATTAAGGTTTGGGTATATTTAAGATTTTTTTTTTTTCCCTCCTCTCTGGAGTTCTTGTGCCCTGAAAAACATAAAGGTGATCCAGCACCTTGACTTGAGGGAGCAAGTAGCTGTTGCAGTCAGTGGAGATTTTATCTATCTGTGTGTGGAGATACAATATAACTTATTATTTATAATACAAATTAATGTAGGATGTGACTCTTTGCAATACCCTCTATTCCCTGCTTCTAGGTTCATAATGCTTCAGCTTCCCAGGCTGTACACGATACAAAAAAGAAAGGCATTGGGAGCTCTTACAAAGAGTTATTTTAGTTAATAATGGGTTTCTTTTTCCACTTCTTTGTAATTGTGTTAATCTATGGATTATTTTTTTTCATTGCTTATATGGTCTATGGTTATTCTATTTCTTCTTTCCCACTTCCTTTTTGTAATTGTAGCCCATTTGAGTTCTTTTTCTCATTGCTACCAAGGGTTGAAAGCGGTTGCAGTGGGTGTTTTATTCCCGTCGGTGTATCGTGAGCAGGAGCTCGCTGCATGGCGAGTGAAGCACAGCAGCTTGGCTGGCATGGGGGTTCGGTGGGGCTGCATCCTGGGGGAGCTCCGAGCTCAGCAGAGTCCCAGCACAGTGCGACCCTCCAGCTGTCCCTGCAGGATAAGCTGCATCGCCGAGTACCGCTGCATTTTCATTAGTGCTCTCTTGTGTGTTAAGGGAAACGTGTTTCCCCAGCAAGCACTGCGGAGCAAAGCCTTCATGGGCTTTCCAGAAAGCTGGATCATATGCTGTCTTTCCAAACTTGACCTAGAAATAGTTTTATTCTATAGTAACCTCCACTGATGGATTAATTTTTCAGTACCTGCAATGAACAGCATGTCACTTGAGTAACACCCGTGGTCCTAAAACGTAAAGTTTATTGTTTAAATATGAACAAAGTGTCACCTTCAGCCTTCCCTTTAGAGAAGAGGGAACGTAATGAGATTACCAGGAAAGTAAGTTGATAGCTTGTTACCAAAACATGGAGAAATTTCTTATTCAGGGATGGATGTCCATGCTTTCAATTTCTCTCTAGTAACTATTTCTGTGTCATATTATGCAATTACGCAAGGAGAGCTGAGAAAGACTACTTGAAATTGCTTCTGTTCAGCATCCCTTCATGAGATTTTTGTCTGGCCGTAGACTCTTACAAAATACGTATACAAAAAGTTCAAGTGTAATTTATTAACCTAGATAACCTCCCAGTTGGCTTCATTGATGGAAAAGATCTAATGCTGACGTTGCTGGGCTCTGAGATGAAACTGAGTATGGAGCTTGTTCTCCTGGAAAAATAATTTAAAAATAAAATGAATATGGTTGTTCTTTGCTTGCATTTAAGTGTTCAGACGAGCACGGCAGGAAAGGAGTGTTTTGCCATTCTGCTACCTGGATGTGCTGGGAGATTTAATAGTGAGGGGAGGGTCACAGTTGGGTGTTTCAGGGTGACTGGGTCGTGGGAGCTGTGGCAGAATTAGACAACCTCTCCCTTCTCTCGCTCAGTGATTCTTGTCCCCTTCTTCCCATGGTTCGTGCGTAGGCTGAAAATGTAATTCTTCCTTCTGCCAGCACTTGGGTTCCTGAGCTTGCACATCTGCTCACAGAAGCCATTAGCTGTTGTTATCTAGTGAATTTTTTTCTAATATGTAGGAATCTGGAGGCCGTATTTACCAAAAAAGCAGATTTTATCTGTCATGAGTGAAAAGAGGAAGTATCCCAGACTAATCTGTGTGTTCTGTTCTCTGAGATGTAAATGAAGAGCAGAGAAGTTTGTCCTCTGGATCTGTACTTACATGCTTTTCCTGAAGAGAAACTTTTTTACTTTTTTCACTCATGGTTTCTTGGAATCCTGTAAAATCATCATCAGATGTAAAAAAATTCACAGTTAGCTTATATGGGGAGATTTTAAAATAATTCCAAGTGCATGTGAGTTCAAAAAACCAACATTAATCTTAAAACCCAGTTTCTTCCAAGGATCTGGCTATTGTACCCGTTACAGCACTCGAGCCACAAGAGGAGCTGCAGTTTTCCGGGGTGAGTTCAGATCCTCGGTGCCATGTTCCCCAAGCTTCACCCAGCATTTTGTGGGGCAGCAGGAGCTGTCAGAGTATTTCTGTCTGTACAAATGCGAATGCTGCGTTGTGTGCAGGAGCCAATGAAGGCTCTAGACACGTGTTTCAAAATCCTCTCTGTTCAGTTCCTCGTCTTCTGTTTCATTATAATACCATATACTAGTGCTGATTATTTTTATTTGGCGTTTCATGCTGACATCCAGAGAGGAGATAACACTTCTCTTTTTTGATCATTTTAAAGTCTTCCTGCAGTTGGCCCCCGTGGGTTTGGGAGCCTTTCGGGCTGAGCATGAAAGCATGTGTTTGTGTTCTGCAGCCCCCCTCCCCAGCCCTTCCCTCTCCCATCCCCTGAGCGCGGCCGGGTGGGTTAGCGAGCTCTTTGAAAACCTCTCTGTTCTCGCCCTTGCGTTGGCTCCCGTTAAAAGTGCCGCACAAATAAGGAACTGTGTTAATTCAGCGAGTGGAGTGTTTGCTCTTTTCCTGGGGAGAAGGTGCTGAAGAAGCAGTTTCTGCGGAGGGACTTCCCTTGTCGGCTGTGTGCCCCGGGGGTCGGCTGATCTTTAAGATGTCTTTAACGTCTGGAGCCTTGA